AAAATAAGGCAATTATGGATTGGCTGTTTGCAACTGTGACTCATCTTTTGGGGGTTCATTGGTCAAGTGGTTTCTTAAGTTTTTGCTTAAGAAATAACTTTTCCAAATTACAAAAAAATAAAATGTGGTCTTTTTGAAAATTTAGTAAGCAGGTAAGCTTCAAGGAGCAAAAAATAGTGGATGTAAGTCATAGACATCTGTCCATGCTATCACATGTTCTATTGCATTATTTTAATGAAGACTATTGTTTCATAGATGTACCAAATTTATTAAATTTTTTTTGGACATTTAGGTTGTTGCTAATTTTTGCTGTATTATCATCATCACTTTGAACATCTTTGTTTTTACATGCATCATTTATTATATCCTTAAAATAAATTGCTGTAAAGAAAATGACTGGGTTAAAGGGTGTGTACAAATTTTATGGTTCTGATATCTACTGAAAAATTGCTCTCCATAAATGTTTTGTCAATTTGCATGGCCTCAGGCAAGTTGCTTTAACTACTCTGAGTCTTTATTTTCTCATCTGGGTTGCTGTGAGGACCTGATGAGATCATGCATGTGGAATGTTAAGCAAATTGCCTGGCCCATAGTAAATGCTCAATAAGCCTGTTATTCTATATTTACATGTTGTTCCTGCCCAGCTCTGATGTATTATAGATGGGAATAGACACAGACTGAGCAAGGCTTCTGAAATTCTGCTTTGACAGCAAAAATCAATCCATCCTCTATGCCCCCCCTGCCTACAACACCAGGTGATTGATGGCAGGGTGAATTCTCAGGGCTCATACATTTATTAATGTCTTGCTTTTTCCTGGGTTGGTTACACAAAATGTTGCAAAGCAGTAAAGAAACTCATAGTGGGTTTATTAAATGGAAATGACTAACAATAACAACAGCAAGGACTACCACTTATAGAATGCCTATTGAGGGGGCCGGCGCCATGGCTCACTTGGTTAATCCTCTGCCTGTGGCACCGGCATCCCATATGGGCGTTGGGTTCTAGTCCCGGTTGCTCCTCTTCCAGTCCAGCTCTCTATTGTGGCCTGGGAGGGCAATGGAGGATGGCCCAAGTGCTTGGGCCCTGCACCCACATGGGAGACCAGGAGGAGGCACCTGGCTCCTAGCTTCAGATTGGCGTAGTTCCAGCTGTAGCGGCCATTTGGGGTGTGAACCATCGGATGGAAGACCTCTCTCTCTCTCACTGTCTACAACTCTACCTGTCAAATAAAAAAAATTATTAAAAAAAGAATGCCTATTGAATACCAGGCAATATGCAAAGCCCCTTACGTGGATCATTCCATTCAATCTCACAATAGTTCCTTGAGACTCAGAGGTGTGTGTATGTGTGTGTGTGTGTTGGGGGGAAGGGGGCATGCTCAGTGTTACACAGACAAAAGTGGCAGATCTGGGACTGGACTCCAATCCTACCTGACTCCAAATCTGTGTTATTGACCAGTTTGAATGATGCCCTCTTCAATATTAAAAGGTTCAGTAGGGAGCTGTGTGCATGAGTGAGTGTGCATTTGTATATGTGTTTGTGTGCAATCATGGACATTCACATGTGTGTGAGTGCATGCATGTGTATCACTAGAAGAGTATTAAGTCAGGCTCTACTATGTTCCAGGCACTGTGCAAGTTCTTGGTGTTGTATGATGAATAAAAAAGAAATTATCCCAGCCATCTTAAGGCCTACTGGATAGAGGGGAAGACTAATAGTAAATGAATAAGTGAGTAAATTAAGCAATAAAGAATTACAGATTAACATTACAGTATGATGGACAGAAATATGGTATAGTCACAGAAAGCAATAGGATACCAAATCCTAGATTGGAAGTCCTAAGAGGGTCTTTTAGAGATGGTGACACTTAAGTTTGTGTTTCCAGAAAGTAGGCTGGGGTCAGGAGTCATGGCCACCATGCAAGACATTGTGGCAGGAAGGCCCCAAGGGGTGGAGGCAGGCACTTCACTGTCCAAAGATGTCTTCCAGAGAGTTCTGGAGCTCCCAGAAGTGAATATGGGTAGGTGTGGGTGGGGTTTTTGGATGTGCTTGGGTGGGTTGGGGGAGAGGTAAGAGGAATGGCCTACCAGCTTCATCCAAAAGAGGCAGAATGGGAGCTGGAGACTACTCTCTGAACAGTCCTGGTCTTAGGAACAAGTGCCTGAGGGATTCCAGAGGCATGGATGGGACTAGGAGGTAGAGCCTAGATGCCTGAGGTTGGAATATATGGAGCGGAAGTCTTATATTCCTGCAAAAGAAAACTCCTTATCTTCCCCAAGTATCCCTGAATCAAACCAACTTCACCCTCCTATTCATTCATCAGTGTAGTTTAGGGTTTGAGAAGGCAGCAAAGCCTCCACCAGCTCTACCTCTCTCACCTCCTGAGGTACTTCATGGGGTACTTGAGTAGGAAAATGTCACCCAAACTGCTTCTAGTGGCAGCAGCACTTTGAAGCAGCCCAGATTATGATTTAAGATGCGATGCCTTCACATGTCCACATGGTGAAAGGGTCTGGTTGTTGGAGCAGTTGGCCCAAGAAGCCTGAGAAAGAGTGGCTTGCCCAAACTCAGAGTCTCAGCTCTAGGAGCCACCAACACCCAAGCCTTGTCTGGGAAGATGGATTTCCCCAGCTATCTGAGACCCACTATTGGATTGTTGTGAACTCATGGCTGAGATAGTCTGTGTGTTCCTACAACTTCCCATGCAAACTGTTCTCTGGTGACCATAAGAGACCTTGAACTACCCTCTTGCCTAAACATTTCAGTCCCAGAATTCTGGAGGGTAATGCACTTAGGAGAAACAATCAAAGCACTCTGGGGCCCTGCTTTCCTCATTTCAAACACTCAGTAAGCACCTAGGTCATATGTATGAGCTCTGTAAAGCCAGTTCAGATGGAGTCAGCCTGGCTGTCAGAGGCTGTGCTTTGTTTCTAATCTGTGCATAGGACATGCAGTACCTTTGTTCATTATGAAGCATGGACAGTGATTATACCAAACCAGTTTAATCAGTGTTTGTACCACAGAGTGCCCTCGATTGCTTTGGGTCTGGAGATATCAATTTTCAAAAATAGGATTCAGTCTCAGGAACACATCTCAATATGCTCCTTTGCCCTTGATTTTATTAAAAGAGATCCGCCATCACCCAAAACTGATTGTTAGTGGTGTAAAATTCTGGGCCAAATGTCCTGCCGCATAGGTTTGGGCTTCTTTTTTTTTTTTATCATCTGTGTTACATGGAATGTCATGGTGGTGAGTGAAGGCACTGTAGTAACACTGTGCGGGCCACATGTTTGTTTTTTTCATGCACTTTTCAATTTTTATTTTTATTGACAAATAATAACTGTATATATTTATGGAGTACAGTGTGCTAATTACATACATGTACACAATGTGTAATGGACAAATCCAGGTAACATTCTGTCTCCTTAAACCTTTATCATTTCTTCGTATTGGAAAACTTCAAACTCTTCCAGTTATTTATAAAATACGTAATTCAGATTCCTTTAGCAAGTAGAAAATTCAGTCAACTTGAACTTTTTATTTTTAAGATTTGTTTATTTATTTGAAAGACAGAGTTACAGAGAGATGCAGAGCCAGAGAGAGAGAGGTCTTCCATCCAATGGTTCACTCCCCAGATGGCCGCAATGGCCAGAGCTGAGCTGATTCAAAGCCAGGAGCCAGGAGCTTCTTCCGGGTCTCCCACATGGGCGCAGGGGCCCAAGGACTTGGGCCATCTTCTATTGCTTTCCCAGGCCATAGCAGAGAGCTGGAATGGAAGTGGAGCAGCTGGGACTCGAACCGGTGCCCATATGTGATGCTGGTGGGCAGACCAGGCCTTTAACCTGCTCTGCCGCAGCGCCAGCCCGTCAACTTGAACTTTGGGGAGAGCTGCCAGAAACATATGTGGAGGGCAAAGAGGCCAGTGTACCAGGCAGCCAATCTTTCTTTGTATCCACACCCACACATTCCTCCTTTGTTATCTTGAATAGATGAGTGGCTCCAAGATTTAAGCTCCACCTTGCAGAGCTTTTTCCCTCCTCCTGTCTCACCTGAGTGGGTGCTGAGATTGGGGAAAACATTCATTCATGTCGTGAGCTGTCCTAGACGAGCAATATCCTAGATTCAACCACTATGATAGACAGTCAGAATAATGTCTATGGGACCAAAAGAGACACTGTGTCCATTCCTCAACTTTGCAAGAAGAAACAGAGTCACCTGTTGACCCTGAACATTCTGCTTTTGCAGGACGAGGTCCAAGAAACTCCTTCCCTACCTATCACTCATTCCTCTAGCTCAGTTCCCCACTGGGCTATTCTGCATTGCTATCTTGGTTCTGTTTCTTAGCTTTCCCATGTCCCCAATTCCTTGGTCTAGGGTTTCAACCCCTAGAGTTGTGCGGTGACCAACACAGGCAAGCACTGAACCCTTTGTAAAGTTCTATGGAGTCTTCTAGTTTGGTATATGTAAAACACCAGCTATAAAATAGCTAACAACATGGAAGTTAAGCAACAGCATCAACCAAACACAAATCAAGCATTTTTCCTTCTAGAAAAGTTCCACTAAGAAGCTCATTGGACATGGGGGCAAAGATGTATATACAAAAACTCTGATTACCATGTTGTTCAGATAACAAAAAAAAATAGAAATAATTGAGCTGCCCACAGATATACATTCTGTTAGTCACATCTTTGCTTTAATGCAGAGTACTGAACAGCCATTTAAAAAGCTGCTCTTTGACTGTATTCATGGCAATAGGAGGATGGTCATGATATTTTAATGAAGCAAAAGCAGCTTTCATAACAACATGTGTTGTGAAAATATGTTCTAGAGAGAAGTACAACTAAAAGAGGATATCTGCTATTTCTGGATATTATGATTAGGGTGTTTTTTAGCCTTTTCTATATTTTCTTCAAGTATGTATTAGCCAGAAAAACATTAATCTACTTCCATTTTGAAAAGAATAAACACCTAACATATCTTCAAAATCTTTCCTTTTCAGATGGTGACATGCCTCCAAATCAGTGGCGTTTCTCTTCTTCATGGACAAAGCCACAGCCAGAAGTGTCTCTTGCACATGGCGTCGCCAACTGTAGCTTGGATGAGTCTGGTCCTGTGCCTGTGGATCAGTATCCATTGTCCCTGACTGGGGCCCCTTCTGCTCAGCCCAGGGAGCTGTGGCATTTCTCCTCCCTCGCCAGCTCCAGGCCCCCAGAGCCTGGCTACCCTCGTGCCTTCCCCACTGAGCACTTGGTTCAGGAGCCTCAGCCTGATGAGAAATGTGAGTGCCTCCTAAGTCTCTTCCAGTAAAACAGATGCCTCTCCCTTCTTCAGGAATGTGTTATGAGGGAATAGTGCCACTCTGTCAAGATAGCTGGAAGCATGGAATTGCTCTTTACCCTGCCTCCCAGCTCTGTGCACTATAAGGAGATGGCTTCAAATGCCTACTTGGAAGGCTGCCTTTGATTGGTGGCGATGGGGAGTAAGTTAGCATGACATGGGGTACCAAGACTAATTGTTGCCTCTCTGACATGGGGCTGCTGAGAAACAGAATGTTCTGCTTAAATGTTCCATATATCTTCACTAAGCTTCATTGGTATGCACAGTTTAATGACTGATAAATAGTCAACCAGCCAGATTTGGCCTGAAATATTCACTGCAGTCTGTTGACTTGGCCTTACCCTACAAAAATGGTGGGCTACTGCCTAAAATTGTAGGGTCCTGCATCTACCTTGTTGGGAGCCACTAAATAATCTATCATTAAAACTGTGCCATTTGACGTACCTACTGGCTCAAACATTACTCTCAAACAGGTTGGCAACTTGCAATGATGCCAGACTCATGAGCACAAACAAGAGCAATCTACACCAACCATCTGCTCCATGCATTAAAATTCAAAGCAATGGGAGAGGCAGCCCCAATGCTGCCTGTAGAAGTAACAGGGCCTGGCTGTCTATGGCTTACTCCTGTGCCCTGGGCTCCTCCTACTTGGCTTCCTTTGGATTCCTGCTCTCTGACCACTATTCTACCCCCTGAAATCAAAATACCCATAAGGGTCACTCACTTCTTCATTCACTCACTCATCCAATGAATATTTAATTTGTTCCTACTTGATGTAAGATATTCATCAGGAACAAGACTCCTTTCTTTGTAAAAGGATGGAGAATGATTGGCCTACACTATACTTTCATGAAGAAGGCTATCCACTATGCTGCAAGCTTTGCTTTTCACATGAAATATTTGTTATAATATATATTTTTATAGTCTCATGGGGCCAAATCTGCATCCTCGGGATGCATTTTTTTTTTTTTGCTCCCTAGTCCATGTGCATCTGTGATTCTAGTGTTCTATACCTTAAGGAAAGAACTGGAAGCTGTCTTTGCTCTGAACTAAGCATAGAGTACACAAAGAGCCCATTCACCATAGCCTACCTAAGTCAGGTCCTGTGTTTCATCCTAGTATCACAAACAAATTCCCCATTAAAATAACACTCCATCACTTTCAGAGTTTGATTAGGAAACTACATAGAGAGTTAGTCATAAAAGTGTCATGCGTGGGTAACTTGTGAAAATTCCCACCCCATACTTTTTCACAAGTCTCTTCCTACTGGATTTGGAGGGAAAATTAGGCCAACTGTGTTTGTATATATGCCTGTGCATACGCACATCAGAGTTCTGTTTTAACAGTTGGTTAAAACACAGATGGCTCAAATCAGCATCTTCCAAATATAACAACTCTGTACAGTTCAAATCCAATTCAGTAAATATTTAGCGAGCACCTACTATATGCCAGGGCATCATAACAAAAACTATAATGTAGGCATTATACTATTTCTGACACCTCTAGACACATTGACAAGCAAGTGTTCATCACTTAAGTTTCAGCTGCTGGGAACTCTGCATGCTCTCTTACTAATGCAGAGATCAGTTGTAGTCATTGGTAACCGAAGGTCCGGGATCTATTGGGGAAGTCAGTGACCCTGACTCAGGAAGATGGGAACACAACCTAAGGAGCCTTAGAAAACAGAGAAGCTGCTCTACTTTTGTGGCATCTGATAAGAGAAAATAAGCCGGCTTCCCAAAAGTGACAGGCAGGCCATCTAGGGTTACTGGAGGTGCTGGTGGGCACTTTCTAGTCCAGCCTCAGAGATGTCACTTCCAATCATGTTTGCTTCTTCTTCTTTTCTAGATAAGAAAATATTTGTCTCCCCCAATCATGGACCTGCCAGTACCAGCCTTGCAAATGAAAGTATGTATCTGGTTCAGCCTTTGAAAATGTACTCTGAATCTGAAGAACAAATGTGGGGCACTATAATTTAGTATTTTTCATAGATATAATTGATTTTGTCTTAGTCTCCCATAGTGCAAATTTCAGATTGTGTAAAATGTCCTGAGCATTTTTTTAAAATTTTGCTATAAGCAGCTCCACTGGGTTATTTAATCTGAGCCTAACTTAACCATGGTAACCAAGGTGACTCAGAAAGATGAACAAATCCATGAGGATTAGCTTGTTCTGTCCCAGGTGTTCAGATTCAGCCATGCGTATAGGGCCACTTCAGGACTCTGTAGTTAGGGAAAATGTCAGCTGAGGCAAGACCATGACCCTTGGGCTCCATGTTGAATTTGAAAGAGATGTCCACAGGAGCTTCCAAATGAGGGTGAGCTGAGTAGACTGGCAAGAAAATCTTCATGACCTAGGTTCAGGGTTCAAATCCCAGCTTTGAAATTATTAGCTTCAGGAATTTAATCTCATTTCTTAATCTCTGTGTGCCTCATTTGCCTCATCTGTATAATGAGAATAAAAATAGTGCTCACAGTATAGAGTTTCTGTGAAGATTAAATAATATATTCAAGGGTCTAAGGTTGTGGTGTAGTGGGTAAGGCCACCACCTGTGATGCCTCATTCCATATGGGCACTGTTTTGAGTCCTTGCTGCTCCACTTCTGATCTAGCTCCCTGTTAATGTGCCTGGGAAAAGCAGTAGAAGATTGTCCAAGTCCATGGGGAGAGGCACCCATGTGGGAGATCGGGAAGAAGCTCCTGGCTTCTGGCTTTGGTCTGGCCCAGCCCTAGATGTTGCAGCCATTTGGGGAGTGAACCAGCAGATGGAGACTTTATCTCTCTCTCTCTCTCTCTTTCCATCTCTTTCAGTAACTATACCTTTTAAATAAATAAAAATAAATCTTTTTTAAAAGAAATAATATACTCAAAAGCTTAGCACCATACATGGCTCAGAGTAAGTCATACAAAAGTGTAAGTCTTGTTTTTTTTTTTTTTTAAAGATTTATTTATTTGAAAGGTAGAGTTATGGGGGGTAGAGGGGGAGAGAGAGAGAGAAAGAGAGAGAAATGTTCCATGCTCTGGTTCACTACCCAAATCAGCCAGGGCTGGACTGGGTAGATGCCAGGACCCAGGAGTTTCATCTGGGTCTCCCACATGGATGGAAGAGACCCAAGTACTTGGACCAGCTTCCACTGCTTTCCCAGGTGAGTTAGCAGGGAAAGCACTTCATCAGAAGTGAAGAAGCAGGGAACCAGCACCTATATGGGATGCTGGCATTGCAGGCAGCAACCTTACTCACTGTGCCACAATGCCAGCCCCCAAAAGTGCAGCTATTTTTGGAGAATAAGGTCACACACTAGCAGGTGGTAGACATAGTTTATCTCTTGGCTCTTGCACTGTTGTAAAATCATCAAAAAGAATTCTAAATGAAATCAAGTGCACAATGGTTGGAATTAGTGATGACATTATTTAACTGCACGTGAGTCACCATTTATCATATCCTAAAATAAAGGAGCAAAGCAGAAGGCTCAGAAAGAAAGTTAAAGAGCAAAGAGCAGTACTACTTTGGGACAGTGGTAAGGGGATATTCTTGCCTGGGGAGAGTAGTTGAGAGATGGTGGCATGAGTGCCTGACTATGCCAACAGTCTGGACTCTGCCATTCTACCATTGTAGAGAGGAAGGCATCAGAGAACATAGTGGGGAGGAGGAAAATTTCCTTGAGTTCCAAATAAAAAGATCAGAATATATAGCAAATTCCATGCTCTTACGCATGACGCTGGTCTCCCAATCTTCGCTGATGGTAACAACCACCAACAGACTTTGTTAGCTGTCTGGTTTCTTCACCTCCACTTCCTAATTGGTAGATTTGGTGTAGGACATAATCACCTCTTGAAATATTTTAATCTTTTTGTATTTCATATGAGTGTCATTTTAAAATGAACCACATGAGGGCCGGCGCCGCAGCTCACTAGGTTAATCCTCTGCCTTGCGGCGCCGGCACACCAGGTTCTAGTCCTGGTCGGGTCTCCAGATTCTGTCCCGGTTGCCCCTCTTCCAGGCCAGCTCTCTGCTGTGGCCAGGGAGTGCAGTGGAGGGTGGCCCAAGTGCTTGGGCCCTGCACCCCATGGGAGACCAGGAGAAGCACCTAGCTCCTGGCTTCGGAACAGCGCGGTGCACCCGCCGCAGCGCGCCGGCCGCGGCGGCCATTGGAGGGTGAACCAACGGCAAAGGAAGACATTTCTCTCTGTCTCTCTCTCTCTCACTGTCCACTCTGCCTGTCATAAAAAAATGAACCACATGAATCTTTGAATAGGAATTTTGGAGATTCTGAAAGATTTTCTGCTACAGATCCAGATAAATATTTGTCAAAGGAAGGGAAGCAAAGTCTCCTCCTACCCCAGTAATATGGACCTGCTGCTTTCATGTGCCTATGACACAGAGGCCAAGTGATGCAGGGCCTTATGGGTCATGCTGGGATACTAGATTTCATATTCTAAGTGACTTGGTGAGCCATGGAAGGATTTTAAGTGTAATCCTATTTGCATTTGATAAGATCACAAAAGCCGTTGTGGAGAATTGCAAGAATCCAAAGGAAGAGATGGGCTAGGAGACAGGAGAGGGTGATAGCCTGGATTAAGCAGCAGTAGTAAAGATAGAAGTCGATGTGCTGGAGATACACTTGGAAAGTTTATGGCTTAGGACTTACCAATTAATTGGATGGGAGTGGTGAGGAAGAGAGGAGAATCTGGCTAGCCCTTAAGTTTCCTGCTTGGGTAACTGGGTGCATAGTGTTAAATATCAAAATGGTAAAGACTATCAGACAACACCATTCTGTTTGATCATGTGAATCTAAAGGCACCCATAAAACAGTCAAGTGAATATACCATTTCAACAGTTTTATATGTAAGTGTGGAATTCAGAAGAGAAGTCTAGATAACCATTCAGGACTCATCAGTATAGTATAGTGTATAAATGACATTTATGGCTATTGGATATGATCACACAGGCAGAAGATGTAAATACAGAGGAGAACAGAGGACAGAATCCAGAAGAATTAACACATTTAGAGGCTGGGGACATGAGACACCAACAAAGGACATTGGGAAGGAGAGGCCAGTGCAGTAGAAAGAGAACCAGAACAGTCTGGTGCACAACAGAAACTTGTAACAGTGTTTCAAACCTGACAGAGTGAACAGCTATGTCAAAAGCTGTCCAAAAGAAGAGAAGGACAGAGGAATTTCTGTTGGATGTGACATCAGAGATGTTGGGAACCTTGTTAAGAGTGTTTTCCAATATGTAAAAGAGCAGTTCCCCTTATGTAATACAGACAGAGGCCAGGTTGGAGAGGGTTGAAGAATGAGTGGGAGATGAGAAAATAGAGACAGTGAATGTCAGCAACTTCTTAGAGAGGTTTAGACTTGAAGAGGTGAAGAGAAATGAAGTGGCAGCTAAAGAGATTAGTGGGACCTGAGCATACTTTTAAGAAAACAAACGTTAGAGCCCATTTGTGCTAAATATTTGAGCAAATTATTTCACTTAATCCTCATTCTCTGCCTTCGAAATTCTTGATCCTACCCACAAAGCTAAGAAGCAACTTGACCACATAGTAATTTGACTACCACATATAGAGACACTGCTTTTAATACTAAAATAACAATGGACATTTATTGAGCATGTATGTGCCAGCCACTGTTCTAGGGCTTTACATGAAGGCTCTTGACATTTATGGAAAATGCATGCAATGAAAACACTGTGCATGAATTTCCAAAAAAAATTTTGCACCAAGACAAATTTATCTTTTAATTCCATTTTCCCTGAACTTTTTGACATACCCTCATGTGAGTTTGACTCATTTAATCCTCACCATACCCCAAGGAGGTAGCTGTTATTGATATCCCCATGCAACAGGAGGACAGCAGGGCTCAGAAAGGCTTAGGTAACTTGCCTAAGGTCACACAGTTAGGCAGTGGTGGGGCTGGCACTCAAACCTGGGCACATTTGACCTCATAGCCAGCTTCTTAAACATCATGCTTATCCTGTTTTTCAGGAAGCCAGTCTCCAGAGAGAAGAAAGGATCTGTTCTTTTATTGAACTTCGGTTTAAAGAAGAGAACTCTTTTTGACAAACCTGATCATAATTTCTACTGTGAATCCTGAGAATCTAGATATCATACTGTCCTTGTCCTTTTCTGTTTCTGCCACTAAAGAGCAGTGAATCAGGAGCAAGTTTACATGCTCCCTAAAATTGTGTACTTGTCTTCCTTGGTACCTGTGCCCTACAGCAGAGGTTTTCCAACTCACTAAGTGAATTCCCAGTATAAAGTAGCTAACGGAACTGTTCCTGAGTTGCGAGCATAGAGGCCCTTTTGTTTGTGTGTCCCACTCCCCACTGCACCCATTGCCCTTTGACTTAGAAACCATAGCCCCTTCACTTTCCTTTTGGTAGGGTCCTTCAAACCAAGACTGACCACGTGGCATCCTAAGGGATTGTCTTACTTTTCCAACTGATTATCAGAAACAGCCTGAAGCTTTCTCACTTTAACCAGATTGTGGCCAACATTACTTCTTCCCCTAGCAAAAGCATAATGAAAAAGGGCAAGACCATGCATCTTCAAACTTTGGAAAGAAGCTAAAAATCAGTTTGGCCCTGATGCATGACATAGTTTCACTTGAAAAATTTGATTCCTCAATTCTAAACAAAGGATTCCAAATGGAATTGTTGAGCAAGCTGCTCCATTCCAGGTTGGGCCTGTGGCTGGAGCAGGGCTTTTTCTGTTTTTGTAACATTTCATGGATGCCTGAGTTTCTGTCTTCTCTTGCTTCGAGGATGAGGATTTGGGCATACGATACCCAATAGGCATTTGCACCTTAGGAGCCTTACAGCCTCCCAGATTGGCCCACTTGATTTCTATAAACATTACAATGTCCCTTTAGCTCTTTCAGAGTTAGTGACGGCTGAGAAGTGTTCACTTTGTTTTCATCACAGAACTGTTAGGGCCACACACATTGATACCCAGTGTCTTTCATCAAGCTGAAGGAGAAAGGCAAGTCTTGGCACCAGAGATGGCAGCAGGACCTTTCGTCATGTTTTCCACATAAAATGACGATTTCTCAAACTCACCCGTCTTTCCAATCTGGTAGACAGCCTTGTGTCTATTCTAAGCTCAGTACTTGCTCCTGGACAATCATGGAAACCCCTGCTATCAGTGTTCCCCGTCCACAACTCACTTATTCCTGTGTAACAGCTCAGCAGGTAAACAATAATAAATCTGCCACATGGCACTATTCTGAATTCTAATTTCTTTCACATTCATCATCTCATTCAAAGTTTTCAAACACCTAGGGGTTAGCATTATTTCCTTCATTTAAAATATGTGAATACTGAGTGTTAGAAAAGGTAAATGACAGGGCTGGTGCTATGGCATAGTAGGCTAAGCCTCCACCTGGAGCACCAGCATCCCATATGGGCACTGGTTGGTGTCCCGGCTGCTCCATTTCCAAAACAGCTCTCTTCTATGGCCTGGGAAAGCAGAAGATGGCCCATGTCATTGGGCCCCTGCACCCATGTGGGAGACCTGGAAGAAGCTCCTGGCTCCTGGCTTTGGATCTGCTCAGCTCCAGCCATTGTGGCCATTTGGGGAGTGGAACAGTGGATGGAAGGTGTTTCTCTCTGTCTTTCCAGCTCTTTGTCTGTAACTCTATCTCTCAAATAAATGAATAAAATCTTTAAAAAACAAAAGGTAAATGACCTGCCCAAGGTCACACAGCCAGTAGCAGAGCCAACACTGAAACGCATGCCTCTGAACTCAGTGCTCTTTACCTTCCACAACAATAATATCAAGGGTTAATGTCAGCATGCCTCTTAGATATTTTCCTCTCCCAACTGCTATGTAAATAAAGACCACAACACTTGCATTAGTGAATTGATGATCTTGGCAGTAATACTGCAATTCTCCTGTCTCAAGAGCAGTTTTTCCAGTGTGTTACATGTGTTTCCTAAATTTAGTAAGAGGAAAAAAATGAATTAGTATATTACCCCTCAATGTTGTTTACCTTCAAAAGCCATGTGCTTTTTAGATGATGGTTTGAGAATTTCAAAGTGGAGGCTGATTCTTGCACTTGTGTTACATAATTCTACAAGTGTATGTTTATCTATTTGTCCTACAAATATTCATCTGTATCATCAGAAGTGAACTCTTAATCTTCTGTGTATGGAAAAAAGGAAGTGATTCTGATAGAGATGACATCATAGGTAGCCTAGGGTGATCCGATAACATTTCCATACAAATCCCTGGAAATCTTGAATAAAGCTGAAGGTGGTAATCAGTTTTCTTACTTCAAGAGGAAAGAAAAGATCTCTTGCTGCTGAGACAACTCTGCCTCTCTAATATTCACAGAAAAGCCCTGGTCCAGATCAATTGCTGGTTAATATCATGCTTAGATATTTGACTTTCAATATCCACTCTGTTTTTCATTTCCCACTTTATTTTCAAAGGTCTAACTGGAAAATCATTACTTTGACTCACTTTCTCGTTGTACTCTGACGATTAAAAACACATCTACCCCACTCCCTGGCATATGAGATATTCACCCCCTTTATACACAAAGGTGAGGTGATTGGCCCCTGGTCTTTCTTTGTGTGGCTTTATCTAATTCTAGTTGATAATCTTATGAGATGTTAATTGGTGAAGGGTGGAGGCGGTGATGGAGTTTTCTTTAAAGTTGTACTTATTTATTTTGAAAATCAGAGTTACACAGAGAGTGAAATCTTCTATTTACTGGTTCATTCCTCAGAGGGCCTGATGGCCAGCGCTGGGCCAGGCCAAAGCCAGGAGTTTCATTTGAGTCTCCCACGGAGGTGGTAGGGGCCCAAGCTCTTAGACCAGACCTTTAGGAGGGAACTGTATTGGAAGTCGAGTATCCAAAACTTGAACAGGCACTCATATGGAATGCTGGCATTGCAGGCAGTTGGCTTTACAACCACAATTTTGGTCCTGGTGGTGAAATTTTTTTTCACTAGATCTGTCAAGATCTTGAAACTAGAGAGTCGAGCCCAGCAAGCCTACAACCCATAAAATATATTCTTATTTTTTTCTACAGTTTTGATCATTTGTCATGTGGTCTGGCTCACCGGATGCCTCTGCTCTTCAACCCACCCCTTGAGATCCATATCCACACTAAACCTTTACAATCTAGATGAATTGAAATTGCTTCAAATAGGCTGAAAACTCTCACATATTTGAATGAAGCCTGTCTCTTGAAAAAAAAAAAAAAACAAAACAAGAAATGTAGCAGTTCTCTTTTTCTGGAAGCAACAGCTATCTTTAAAACATTCCAAATAAGAATGTCATTCACAGGTACAATTGAGACTTGTGTTTAAACACTTTTCCATTCTAAAAGCAAATGGAAATAAATTTTAAAATCTGCAAATAAAATCACAGCTCCACAAATAAGTGCCAAATAGAATATATCAGCTATTTTTCTCCTATGTAAACAATAAGTTTACAATAGTTCCCTAACTATTTCCCTAGTTCAACATAATTAATTGAATATAATATTGTAAACCATTTATAGTTTCAAAATGTCAGGTAACAATGCAATGACAAACTTCAGTTTTTTATTGTAAAGTTTTAAAATAACATGCTACTATGTATTCTGGAGATTAATGTGATTAAACAAGTGAACTGGGCCATAGAATTTTCATTAAGATTACAGTTTTGTCACTAAATACAACTTTATAAATTAAGTCTCAAAGATCTTCAGTTATTTTATTTCCAATTTTAAGTTTCTTAATGCTTAGGAGCAAGGTAATGAGAGTATTTATTTACAACAGTTACAGTTACTATTTAATTGAAAACTGTGACCCTCTAGTAATCTTTCAAAACAGGCAGCCCTTGAATGGATTGTAAAACAAGACTCAACTATTCGGGCCAGCTCTGTGACATAGCAGGTTAAGCCACTTTATGCGATGTTGGTATCCCATTTGTACACCAGTTCGAGTCTTGGTAGCTCCACTTTTGATCCAGCTCTCTGCTGATGTGCCTGGGAAAGCAGTGAAAACTGCCCAAATCCTTGGGGCCCTGCACTCATGTGAGAGACTCAGATGAAGCTCCTGGCTCCTGGCTTCTTCCTGGCCCAACACTGGCAGTTGCAGCCATTTGGAGAGTAAACCAGTGGGTGAAATCTCTATCTCTCTCTCCCTCTTTCAAAAAATACTTTTTTTTTTTTTCAAAAAAGGACCCGACAATTTGCTGCCTGCAGGAAACACACTTTAGCATCAAAGATATACGCAGATTGGGGGCCGGCACTGTGGCGTAGCAGGTAAAGCCACCGTCTGCAGTACTGGCATCCCATATTGGTGCTGGTTCCAGTCCTGGGTGCTCCATTTCCTATCAGACTCTCTGCTATGGCCTTGGAAAGCAGTAGAACATGACCCAAGCCCTTGGGCCACTACACCCATGTGGGAGAACTGGAAGCTCCTGGCTCCTGGCTTCGGATTGGCAGAGCTCTTGTCGTTGAGGCCAATGGGGGAGAGGACCAGTGGATGAAAGACCTCTCTCTCTCTCTTTATTTGACAGGTAGAGTTATAGACAGTGAGAGAGAGAGAGAGAGAGGTCTTCCTTCCATTGGTTCACTCCCCAAATGCCTGATACTGCCAGCACTGTGCCAATCCGAAGCCAGGAGCCAGGTGCTTCTTCCTGGTCTCCCATGTGAATGCAGGGGCCCAAGCACTTGGGCCACTTGGGCCATCCTCCACTGTCCTCCTGGGCCACAGCAGAGAACTGGACTGGAAGGGGAGCAACCGGGACTAGAACCCAGTGACCATATGGGATGCTGGTGCCACAGGTGGAGGATTAACCAAGTGAGCCACAGTGCTGGCCCTCTCTCTCTCTCTCTTTCTGCTTCTCCTTCTCTGTGCAAATCTGACTTTCACATAAATAACTAAATCTTTAAAAAACGATATACACAGATTGAAAGCGAAAGATAGTTAAAAAGGTAGTCTGTGCTAATGAAAAGCAAAAACAAGCAGGAAAGCCATCCTAATATCATCAAATAGACTTTAACAGAAAAACTGGTAAGAGATAAAGAGGGACATTTTGTACTGATTAAAGGATCAATTCAACATGAAGAAGTGACTATAGTAAATGTAAATGCATCCATTGCCAGGGCTCCTGCCTATTTAAAACAAATGTTGGGACTGGTATAGTAGGCTAAGCCTCTGCCTTGGGCACTGGCATCCCATATGGGTGCCAGTTCATGTACCAGGCGCTCCTTTTTCAATCCAGGTCTCTGTCCATGGCTTGGAAAAGCAGTGGGTGATAGCCCAAGTGCTTGGGCCCCTCTATCCATGTGGGAGACCTGGAGGAAGATCCTGGCTCCTGGCTCCTGGCTTTAGATAGGCCTAGCTCAGGCCGTTGTGGCCATCTGGGGAATAAACCAGTGGGTGGTTTATTCCTGGTTCTCACTCTTTCCATCTGTAGCTCTACCTCTCAAATAAAGAAAGAAACAAAATAAATGTTAATGGATCTAAAGGGAGATATAGATTCCAATACAATAATAATGGGAGGACATCAGCACTGGTGTTATAGTGGTGAGCACAGCTGCCTTCCAAGAGTAATGTGGAACTTCAACAGCCCACTTTAATCAATGTGTAGATCAACTACACAGAAAACAAACAAAGAAACAACAGAGCTAATCTAAACTATGGGTCAAATGGAACTAATTGATACATACAGAACATTTCATCCTGCAGTTGCTGAATACACATTAATTTCATCACTTCATGGAACTTTCTCTAGGATGGATCATATACCATAAAGCAAGTCTCAACAAATTAAAAAAAATGTAAAGCATACCATGTATCTTTTCTGACCACTATAGAATGAAGCTGGAAATAAAAAAATTAAGAAACTCTAGGAAATATGCAATCACATGGAGACTGAACAACATGCTTATAAATGAACAGTGTGTCATAGAGGAAATCAAAAGATAAATAAAACATTTCTGGTAATCAATGAAGATGACAATATATCATATTAAAACTTATGGGATACAGGAAAAGCAGTGTAAAGAGGAAAGTTTATAGTAAATTATGCCTACATAAAAAAATTGTAAAGACATCAAGTGAATGAGCTAACAATGCATCTCAATGATCTAAAAAAAAAAGAACAAACCAAACCCCAAATTAGTAAGAGGAAAGAAATAATTAAAACTAGAAAAGAACATAATGATATTCCCTTCTCATTATGTTCTTGGAGTGCTATGAACAAATCTGTTAAAAAAAACTAGTTAAAATTAAGATAAAAATGAACTAGAGAATAATTAAGCAAAATTGAAACAAAAATACTTCAAAAACTCAGTGAAGCCAAGAGCTATTTTTTTTTAAAAAATGGATATACCATTGGTTCAACTAACCAAAAGAGAGAGAAGACTCAAGTTAATGAAATCAAACATGAAAAAGAAGATGTAACAGTGGATACCACAGAAATAAAAAGAATCATTAGTAATTACTACAAAGAGCTGTAATGGCAACAAACTAGAAAATCTAGAAGAAATGGATAGATTTCTGGACACACACAATCTACCAAAATTAAGTCATGAAGACACAGAAGACCTAAATAGACCAATAACCAAGACAGAGATGGAATCAGTAATAAAAATCCTCCCAGCAAAGAAAAGCCCAGGGACAGATAGCTTCACTGCTGAATTATATCAAGTTTTTTTTTAAAGATTTTATTTCTTTGAGAGATAGAGTTACAGACAATGAGAGGGATAGACAGTGAGAAAGGTCCTCCATCAGCTGGTTCACTCCCCAATTGGCCACAATGGCCAAAGCTGTGCTGATCCAAACCCAGGAGCCAGGAGCCTCTTCTGGATATCCCACGTGGGTGCAGGGGCCTAAGTACTTTGGCCATCTTCTATTGATTTCCCAGGCCATAGAAGAGAGCTGGATCAGAAGAGGAGCATCTGGTACTAAACTGGTGCCCATATGGGATGCTGGCACTGTAGAAAGAGGATTAACTCACTGTGCCACAGCGCTGGCCCTTCAAACTTTTAAAGAAGAACTAATTCCAGTTCTTCTCAAACTACCCAAAAACAATCAAAAGGGAAGGAATCCTTCCAAAGTCCTTAAATAAGGCAAGCATCACCTTAATTCCAAAACCAGAAAAAGATACATCAGAGAAAGAGAACTAAAGACCAATTTCCCTGATGAACATAGACAAAAAATTCCTCAACAAATAGTAGCCAGTCAAATCCAACAACACATCAGAAAGATCATTCACCTGGACCAAGTGGTATTTATCCCTGGTATGCAGGTATGGTTCAACATATGCAAATCAATAAATATGATGTATCACATAAAAATTAAATAAAAACAATATGGTTATCTCAATAGATGCAAAGAAAGCATTTGTTAAAATACAACATCCTTTCATGATGAGAACTTTAAGCAAATTGGGTATGGAAGGAATATTTCTCAACACAATCAAGGCAATATATGACAAACCCATGGCCAGTATCCTATTGAATGGGGAAAAGTTGGAAGCATTTTCCACTAAGATCTGGAACCAGGCAAGGATGCCCACTTTAACCATTGCTATTCAATGTAATGGAAGTTGTTATTCAATGTTCTGGAAGTTTTAGCCAGAGCCATGAGGCAAGAAAAAGAAATCAAAGGGATACAAATTTGAAATAAGGAAGTCAAATTATCCCTGTTTGCAGATGACATGATCCAGTATATATAGGGAAAACAAAAGACTCCACTAAGAGAGTATTAGAACTTATAGGAGAGTTTGGTAAAGTTGCAGGATATAAAGTAAACACATGAAAATTAGTAGTTTTATATACACAGATTATGCCATGGCTGAAAAATAACTTGAAAGATCAATGCAATTCATAATAACTACAAAAATTTAAAAACATTAGAATCAATTTAACTAAGGATGTGAAAGATCTTGTCAATAAAAATTACAAAATATTAAAGAAATAATAGAAGAAGTCACACACACAAAAAAGAATGAATCTTCCACATTTGTGGGTTGGAAGAATTATTATCATCAAAGTGTCCACAGTACCCAGAGCCATTTGCAGATTCAATGCTATCCCAATCAAAATATCAATGACATCCTTTACAGATCTAAAAAAATGATGCTAAAATTCATATTGAAACACCCGAGACTCCAAATAGCTAAAGCAATCTTATACAACAAAAACAAAGCTGGATACATAATAATACCAGATTAAAGACATATTACAGAGCAATTATAATCAAAACAGCATGGTATTGGTATAAAAATAGACATATAGACCAGTGGAACAGAATTGAAACTCCAGAGTTAATCCACACTACTACAGCCAACCAATCTTTGACAAACGAGCTAAAATCAATCCCTGGAGAAAAGACAGTCTCTCCAAAAAATGGTGCTGGGAAAATAGGATCTACACATGCAGAAGTATGAAACGAGAATCTGACCTATCACCTTCTACAAAAATCAACTCAAAATGGATCAAGGAACTAAATCTACAACCTAATACCATCAAATTACTAGAAGAAAACCTTGGAGAATCCCTGCAAGACATCGGCATAAGCAAAGACTTCTTGGAAAAGACACCATAAGCACAGGCAATAAAAGCAAAAATAGACAAACAGGATGTCATCAAGCTAAGAAGCTTCTGCATTGCAAGGAAACACTCAACAAAGTGAAGAGGCAACCAAGAAAATGGGAGAAAATATTTGCAAACTATGCAACTAATAAAGGATTAATATCCAGGACCTATAAAGAGCTGAAGAAACTCAACAACAATGAAACAAACAATCCAGTTAAGAAATGGGCAAAATAACTGAGCAGGCATTTTTCAAAGGATGAAATACAAATAGCCTACAGACACATGAAAAAATACTCAAAATCACTAGCCATCAGTGAAACACAAATGAAAACCATAATGAGGTTTCACCTACCCCAATTAGAATGGCTATGAGACACAGATAAAAAAACAATAAATGTTAGTGAGGATGTACAGGAAAAGGTACACTAAAACACTCTTGGTGGGAATGTAAACGAGTACCACCACTATGGAAGACAGTATGGAGATTCCTCAGATCATTGAAAATAGTTCTATCGTATGACCTGGCCATCCCATTCCTGGGAATTTACAAAAACAAATGAAATCAGCATATGAAAGAGTTATTTGTACTTCCATGCTTATTGCAGCTAAATTCACAATAGCTAAGATATGGAATCAACCCAAATGTCCATCAACTGATGACTGGATAAAGAAAAATGTGGTATATATGCATTGTGGAATACTATTCAACCATAAAAAAGAATGAAATATTGTAATTTTCAACAAAGTAGACCCAACTGGAAACCATTATTCTTAGTGAAATAAACCAGTCCCCAAAAGACAAATATTATATGTTTTTTTCCGATATGTGGTAGTTAATATAGAACACAAAAATGTGCAGGAATAAAACTGACATCTTCTGATTTGATTGTTGTATTTACCCCTTGTTTGTACTGCCATGGAATGTGGTTTTC